CACCACCTCAAGTGAAAAATCTAATTCATTTAAGCTTTTATTTGTTCTTGTATTAGCATATGTGTTTGTGCAGTGTGAACTCTACCTCAACTCCGAAGAAAAAATAAAAATAAAAATTAGAGGGTGCATTTGCTAATGCATGGGTTGGGAATCTCTTAATTATATTTAACTTTTCAAACTGACTTCAAAAGCACCAGATTAATACGCTAACATGAAATATAGTTTATCGAGCCTCTAATAGTGTAAAAGGACTGTGACTGCATTAGCTAAAAATGCTTTAGAGGAAGGATCAACTTCCAGTTCATTGAGATCCCTTTCACTATAAAAACCAGGTTTTTGAGGTTGAGGCAATGACCCTTCACCACTCAACATTACAACTGCAACTGGCATGCTCGGCCTATCTGCCGGGTTATGCTGCACACCTAAAAGACCTACATGATGAAGATAGAGGATTCCCTGAACAATTCCATTAATAATGTCAAATCTCTTGGGCCAATCTAGCATCATGCTTTTTCTTGCAATTTCTAGTTTTGTGATTTTTTCAATTCTAGTGGTGGTGGTGGGGATGGCGGTTGTGGAGGTGGTGGTGGTGATGGCAGTGGCAGCATGGTGGTGGTGGTGCTATCTCTAGCACCAACACACCTATTCTTCAACTCAATGAAATCCTCTGTTTCTCTTCATGTGTAACCTTGTTCTTCAACTCATTGAGTCCTTGTCTAGAATGTTTTGAGAGCCTTTTCACAGCTATTTCTTGTCCATCTTTTAATGTACCCTGAAATCCATTAGCCATATATGATGACCAAAATCCATACTCTGTTGTTTGCAAATGTTCAATATACGACTTGTATCCATAGTCCCGACCCAAAAGACATGTGGAAGTTGTCAAGCCAACTGTAGGGAGGACTATATTTGATTTTACCTTAAAGACTGATCCGAAACCACCTTCTCCAAGTTTATTTTTGTTTGAAAAGTTTTTAGTTGCATGAACAAGAGCAGCTTGAAAGTAAAACAGAGTATAGCCGTGCTGCTATACTATGTATATCTTAAAAAAAAAAAAGGACGCTCCCAGCCCCTAGGTGGCACGTGTCAAAAGAGCACAGACTATTTTTTTTAAAAAAAGGGAAAACGAGTACAGCCGGACGGCTACACGATTTTTTTAAATGATTAGCCGACCGGCTATACTATTTTATATATATATATATATATATATATAAAGACCAGCCCATGACCTAAGCCCACGTGTCAAAGAGGTTAACTATTTTCTATGCAAAAACGCGTATAGCCGCACGGCTATACTATCTTTTTGGAAAACAATTAGGGAAAACTGAGTACCGCCGTGCGGCTATACTCTTTTTTGAAGGTATATATTATTTTTATTTAGTAATATGTGTATAATACGTGAATTTTGCGTGTCTTATTGAATTTTTTGTAAAAAATACGTGTATTAAACATGAGAAATATGTGCGTACGTGTATTATACATTATTAAACGTGATAGTGCTAAAATCTTTATACGGGTAATAACTTTGGAAAAGTAAAAAAATCAAAACGGGACGATAGATACTTGTGTAATGGCATAATTGAAATGGATAGGCCTCTTGGGCTATGGAGAAATTGAATTAAGACACCCAAACGATTTCACAAAAGACTTCATAAGTAGATATTAATTACTTTGTGTTCTTTTTCTTCAATCTTTTTACATTAAATAATAATTAAAATATAATTACTAGGCAAAGTGATTAAAAATTGCTAAGATATTACTTGATTACGTATAGTAAATTAAAGAACTGGGCCAAAAAATAAAAGTAAAGAAACATATTTTATATTTTATAAATATTTTTATGCAAAATAAAGAGTATAGCCGTGCGGCTATACTATTTATATCTTAAAAAAAGGACGCTCCCTATGCTTATTTATGTACATGCCCCCTATGCTTTCAAACTTCTCTCACATTACCACCTAGGCTCTGAAATGTCTCAAAATACCCTCCACACTTTTAAAAATGGTCTCACGTTACCCATTCCGTCAACATTATAGATGTTCCGTTACTTGCTTTGGGCTCCACTTCGTTTTAATCCTTAACATTGGAGAATAAGGGTTTTTTCAGCTTCAAAAAAAGGGAAATGGGGTATTTGGGTTAGAAGGGGAAATTTGGAGAAGAAGGCTAAGGCTTATCAAAATCTGAGGTGAGGTGAGGTTCGAATTTTGGGAGAATCTAGAGAAGAAATCACTGTTTGGGCTGGGTTGCTGCTGCTGCAGCTTGTAATCTATACCCCATTCCAAATACTTCACCTTGAAGATACAAACTACAAAGAACAATGATATATTTATATATCCCATTTGAAATAGATGAAAGCATATTAAGATACAAGCTCATGTCACCACTACCTTTCATAAGATCTAGATTGGATGGGGAAAGGAATGGAGAAATGAAGGGGAAAATAAAATTCTCCGTCACATACAAGATACTGCCCAGATAGGAAAGAGGCCAGGTGCTGGATTTTGTGGGTTTCTCCATGGAGTAAGACTTAGTTTTTCTTTCGTAAGCCTATTATGTCCAAGCTTCCCTCCTGGAAGCCAAGTATTAGTTGGGTGATCAAAACTCTGCCATATAACAACAGATGAATTAAATGCATATGTTATGACAAAGTTCCCATTGTCAAGTAGCATTGCTACGGTGGAATGAGAAACCGTTGACATAGAATGAGTTGACCAAATTTCAGTTTTGAATTGGACCAGTAGGGTTAAGTTTCCATTTTGGAAGAGTTGCAATGTTGAAGACGATGTATCAGAAACAGGTTGGTTTCTGTTTGCCACCCAAACTACTGTTTTCGGGGGTAGTTTTTTGTACCATATCCCAATATAATAGTTTTGAGAGTTACCTGGTGTGAAGAAACCCAGCTCAAAAATGCCACTTGGAGAGGTAATTGTCTGGTTCCCAGAAAGAGATTGGCCTGCGGAGAAAACATGAGACGCCATGGAGATACAATCATTAAAGGTTAAACATAACAGAAGTAGAGTAGGCTTATAAATAAATTGTTCCTGTAAGTGAATTTCATCTCCTTACAAACTTGCAAAAAATAGTTATTTTATCGATAATTCTCCTTCCATGAGCTTGCATTAGCTGTAAGATATTAGTTCAAGCAAATCGTCAGACTTAAACAAAGAGTTAAGTTGTTGCTTCCTCTGTTTTTAACTCTTATTAGCATTAATAGTCTCTGGTTTTCCAGGCTACAAAGTCGTTGAAAAATCTTATGCTGTTAAGATAAAATTATAGGCCCATCATCTATCAATCAGAACTTGGTAAATTAGGGCTGCATTAGCTTAATACATCTCTCAATCAAAACCCAATTACTTGTAAAATTGATTCAAAAAGGGTAAAAATGTAGGCAATTTGGGGTCCATAATGGTCACTTTCCACCCAAATTATAATCACTTGATTTAGCTTCAAATTCATTAACTAGGTTTAGAGTACTTATGTGTTCTTCAATCTGGAAACACAAGTTTTCAGTGGAAGCAGAAAATCAAGGAACTTTGAAGCAGAGAAATAACCTGCATGAGAAGGAAGTAGAACCCAATCTGCAGTTTTAATCAAACATCTCCTCACATCAAACTACAAATACACCATTATA